TAGACACTGAGGTGTGGCCTAGCAGCAGATGACAGAAATACAAGGGTGTACACGTAGAGTAGATTGAGAGGATTTCGTTTCCCCTTGGCTTCATATTAAGTTTCAGTAAAGACACCACCTTTGCTCTGCACATCTCACTGGAGTACATAGCATTTGCAGGTGTGGCAGTTCTCTGTGACAATCCGTTACTTGGGCAAGATGGTTAGGTCTTGGTTTGTTCTCTCTGTCTGATGTTAACAAAATGCTTTCTCATTTCATCAAGGGCAATTGGCAATTCAGAAAAAGCTATGGGGTATTTTGGCTGCACAATCCTAGGGAAGAAACTGGTCTTCTGTCTCCTTACTGAGTTTTCCAAAGAGATCAGAATTCCTATGCATTCAAACTGTGTTAAATCAATACTGCTGAGTCTGGAGGATTTTATCTTAGGATGGTTGGAAGTAACTGGTCATGAAACATTACTTAATTAAAGTTTACTGTTTAAAGAAATGAGAACTTCACCAGTATTTTTTTTATTTTTACATCAGTCTGCACCAAGCATTGTGAGACAAATTCTTTAATAGGTGTTTCCTTGGTATTTTGTTCTGTGGAGAATGTTCCCGTAAATATATGAACACCAGCCAAGTAAGATGGAAGCAACAAAAGTATTGCAGGAATAGACATTTCCCCAACTTGTTTGTGAGATGATCAACTACTGCCACTGGGTTAAAGGACCTAAAATGAGACTGCTGAAATATGAGGCTGCTGCTCTGGACTAAGTCCTCTGCTTCCCCAAACATTTGTAGTCAAAGATTCTTTTATACTTTTTAACTCAAGTTTTGAAACTAAGGCTGGAATAGCTCTCTTGGCTACTCTTTGTAGTGACTCGCCTAATTTAAAAGAAAACATCATGGATCTTGGAGCTTCATTTTTGTATGGATACAGTAGGTATTTTAATACCCTTAGAATGATGAGACAATTATCCAGCACTAAAACTAGAGAGTGCCCTAAGCCTAAATTTTTTGCATTCCTTTTGTGGAGCATAGGCTCTTTAGGCTTTAGGATATCTACTAACATAGTAGGATTTTTCTTAAAAAAAAAAAAAAAAAAAAAAAAAAAGCCAAACATAAATAATTATGCATGGTATTTATTATTGGCTGTTCCTCTCTTCAGCACAACCTTTTGATAACTTGTCTATTGCAAAGTATATTCCTCTTCAAGCAAGCAGCTAACCTCAGTGACATTGTTCCAGGAATCAAATATTAAACCAAAGAAAAAACTATCTACACCTGCCTTTAAATGTTAGTTTTTTGAAACCTGGATTAAAAGCACTTTACTGCAAGAAATCAGTCTTGGTTTCTCTAGGCTACGAGGCTTCTTGATAACATAGTTCAGATGGGGATCTATTTGTTTCCCTGTGTTTTTCTGAAGTTGCAAGCATGTTTCACCTGCCATTTCAGAACATCAAATAAAAGAAATTCAGTTATGATTTTTGGAACAAACTGTCAGAGAAAAAGACCAGAGCGTTGCCTGAAGGTGTGTGGGAGAGGAGGACCACCAGCAACAAAAAACAAATCCCCAGACTAAATGGAAGAGGAAAGCATGTTGCCCTTATACCCTTCTCCCCAGCCTAAAATGCAGCTACAAGTTACTCGCCTAATTCTAGCTTTATTCCGATGAAATCAATGCTGTTTTGACAGGACTACATTTGACTTTTAGCATAATGTGATTTAGCAGGGCAATCATTCTTTAGATCAAAATGGCTGTAACATTTCCAGTACTACTAAGAAACTAATACTGCCACTTCCTTTCTCTTTCCTTATTAACCACAGACCACTCTATTGGTTTGCTACATGGTAAAATTCTCCCCTGAGTTTTTGAAAGGCATGTGCCAGAACATACATGCCAGAACACTGCGCCCCTGCGCAGTGTGGTGTATAGCAGGCACTGAAAGCATGTCAGGACAAGGACATTAAATCTTGGCTCAGCACCCACTGTTGCTGCACAGTTGACTGGCTTCCAAAGCATTGCAAGAGCAGCACCCTTCAGCAAATGTGGTTTAATCTGTTATGTGTCCACAGTCAAGATACAGCTCTGATTACCTCTTCTCTGAACAGATATAAGAAAGCTAGACACGAAATAAAGGAAAGTGACAGGAATTATGAGGCACGTGGAACAACTTCTGTATGAGAATAGACTACGCAGACCAGGACTGAGATTGACTGCGGAAAGGTACAGTTGAATAGTGGCTCTCAGTTCCCCCCATCATATACCTCCTTGTACAGTGGCTTTCAAATTGGAATGATATTCCTGAATAAATTACTTTAGGAAAAAGCATGTAGAGAATGGTGATCTGGCTGATATAGTCTACTTGCATTTCCAAGAGGCTTCTGACAAAGTTCCGTATCAAATTTTTTTTTAAGGAAACTAAGCAGATAGGGGATAAGAAAGAAGGTCATGGCATGGAGATGTGTTTAAAAGATAGGACAAAGAGGGCAACAGTAAATGGTCAGCTGTCAGAACAGAGGGAGGCTACAAGTGCAGGGATCTGAGCTGTTGACAATGATCTGGAAAAGGATGAGCAATGAGATTGAGAAAGTGTCCTGATGATACAGATTACTCAGAGGAGGGGGACAAGGAAAGCAGATTGTGAAGAGTTCTGGAAAAATGGTTGAGTGACTGGGCAATGAGACAGGAAGTGAAATTCAAGTTATGTAAAGGGGTGCACAAGGAAAAAAAAAATTACCCTAAATTGATGTATAAAATAATGGCCCCTAGGCTGACCATTACCACTGACAGCCAAGATCTAGAGTTACAACAGATTAAAACATTAGCTAAAGCAAATCGTATGTCAGAGATTATTAGGAAAGGAGCAGAGAAAGTCATATGAATCCAAGAGTCACGGAGTTGACTCTGTGTGCGCTTCTGGTCCCCTCTTCTCAGTAATGGGATAGTGAGACTGAAGGAGTTCAGAGAAGAGCAACAAGGGTGACTAAAGGCCAATGCCTTCTCTTGGAAGAACAACTGAGCCGGACAGGACTGCATGGCCTGGGAAGGAGATTATTTAGGAGGGAGGGTGATGCACATCTACAAAACCCTAAGTGCCGTGTAAAAGAACGGATGGGACTGATCACCTATTGTTGACTGGGAGGAATCAAACGAAGCTACTGGGAACCAGGTGCTTCACCCTCCCCGGGATCCCTCCCCACTCCAATGTTTCATGCAAGGAAAAAGGTGACCCGCTGAACTTTGCCAAAATATATTGGCTGCTGCAAGTTGGCATGAATTCAAGAGAAGACTGAATAAAATTCAGAGCAGAGATCTGTTTGGCTTGGTAAACATAGAGAAAACACATATAGCTGAGGAAATCCCCCAAACTAAATATAGTTGGAACCCAGGACAGTATTCAGGGGAAGTGCTTGCTCTTCCTGGCCTATGAGAACTGTGGCGAAAAAACTCGGGGTTGGAGGATCCTTGTTCTGACCTAGCATAGCCACTCTTGTATACTTACATTACAAATATCCAGTCTAATACAGGCACTTAATGCTACCACGTGTGCGGGAGCTCACACACATCCCAAAAAGAGCCGAGAGAAGTGTATCTTCATCATATAGGTCAGTCTGAGATTCTTCATCTAACAGTTAAACCCACTAAGCTCTGCGATTGATCCAACGCAGTGACATTTGGTTTGACAGTTGCATGTATACTTACATTACAAATATCCAGTCTAATACAGGCACTTAATGCTACCACGTGTGCGGGAGCTGGCACGCATCTGCCAAATAGCGTCGAGAAGTGTATCTTCATCATATAGGTCAGTCTGAGATTCTTCATCTAACAGTTAAACCCACTAAGCTCTGCGATTGATCCAACGCAGTGACATTTGGTTTGACAGTTGCAACTTCTGCTTTCATATCCATTTCCTTCTTTCTTGAATAGTCTGGTAACAACACAGTGAACATAAGGATGATTCCTCTCCTATACAATTTTAATATTCGCATTTGTCCTTCAATCTCTCTTCAGATAACTTAAAGTTGTTTTCCTTAAGTCTTTTAGGCAAGAATCTGCTTTCCCCACAACTTATGTGTATAACATTTTCCATTTTATTCCCTTTCACCTTCTTTTTCCTACAGAAGAGTTATTGAGCTAAAGCAAATTTCTTGCTTGTGTAACCTAAAGACTTTGACTCGTACGCACTGAAGCAGACATCTGCAGCACCTCAGGGCAGCACTGCTTCCAGGGGTCTGTCTGCTTAGAGGTGGCCCTTTACTTCATGCGGTGACAAACAGGAACATGTGACTCTTTTCCTGAGGTAGCAGCAAGTCACGGTCTGGTGTATCAGCTTACACTGCCACTCCAGAATCTGGGCTCAGCATGTTTATTATCCAAATAGTCCTTAAAGAAACATAAGGGTGGGGCATGACAAGGCTGCTACAAAGAACATATGGCCAATGCATGCTCTCTATGCAGAGGCCTAAGTGTCATTTGACAGTGACTCAGAAGGCCGTTTCTTATTCAGGCCACATTCTTTTAATATCAAAGTGCAAAGCCAGCTGTTAGGTAAGCTGATCAAAGCAAGAAATTGTGTAGCTAAGCAAGGAACCCACCCTTTGTCACATGCACAAAAAGGGTTAACAGCTCTCAAGCACAAAAATAATCCCGCTAAAGTTCAAGGTAAAAATCACAGATGTTAAGAGCCAGACAGTCATTCTGTCCCACTAGATCCTGGCTCGTAGACAGACAGTGCTCCTGCAGGTTTTTGGGTAGGCGCTCTGCCTCTCCGACTGCCAGTTGCTGGAGATCTCCAAGGAAGCCCATCTACACTGACGCTGGAGGGGATGCACCCAGCCCTCCAGACCCAAACAGCAATACTGACTGGTGTGAAGGGGCAGTGAACAGATAGGATTCCTTTTTGTCTCTACTTAGGGTAACAAAAATAGAGAATTCCCTGTGATTTTAGGAAACTACATACTTTACAAATGGGAGCTACATTCTATAAAGAAAGGCAATACACGCACATGGTGCTATATGATACTTGTATTTGGTTTTTTCCTTTTCTGGTATATGTCATAGCTTTAATATTGCTTTGTAAATATGTGGAAAAGCCTAAGGCTGTCCACAAGGCTTTCCAGCTGTCTAAGTCACTGTACAACTGTATATCCTTTTTTTACAACTGTATATCATGATCTGGCTTCATAGCTCAAAGGCACAAGTGTAGAGCTCTCATTTAAAAGAACAGGATTGGCCATAACAAGGTTGACTATGGGCAGTATATTCCCTGGCAAATAAAAAAAAAGTGGCAGCTGGTACAAAAAGTGTTAAAATAAACTTGGCAATGTACTTTACTGTTTCATAAGCAGCAACGGTATAATCTGCAATTAAATACCGCTTGCGTTATCAACACTTGTAGGCAGGATGTCACTGTTTATATGAGCAAGGATAAGTCTTCACAAAGAGTTTTGCACCCATAATTGAAGAGAATCCCTCAGGAATCAATGAAGATAAATGCTATTTGTCAGTTAAGCTGCTAGCTGTAGTACTCAAGATACTTATAATACATTTGAATTAGGAGATTAGCATTCAGATATTGAGATAAAGTACCAGAAAGAATGGAGGGGGAAAAAAAAAAATATTCTCTCTGTAGTCTTGTACCTGAACATTACTTGAAATACCACTCAGGAGAGCAGTTTATGGGTTCTTCCTTCCAAAGAGTCTTCAGACGCTGGGCCCAGGCAGTCAGCATCTCCTTCCTCTTCTCCTCAGAGACATACTCCGGAGCGAAGCAGATGTGAGGTGCAAGGACTTTGACACCACAAAAGTGCATGATTCCATGCTGGACTCAAAGCAAAGAAAGAAATGCCTCAGGAAATAGTTAGTCTCTCAATTCAAGAATGTGGAAGATTCAAATCTGAAACTGTTTTTCTGACCCAATGTAAGGCAGGTTTTCTAAACCTGTGCATTTATCAGAAGGGAAATAAATTGCAAAAGTTCATTACCTATCCTGGCAGTCATCGTTGAAGGCTAGGCATTAAGCAGAATGACATACAGTACACTGAAAAATAAGGTCAACTACATTTATTCTGCTCTGTGGAATTTATTTTTAAGTGCTCTTAAACCTACAGAACTGTTCTCTTCGGCTGCTGTATGCCATTAAATTTGCAAGGATAAGAGACAGCCTAAAGTTCATTGTACTGTTTGAATCTCCACAGATTGTTCCTGAACTGCAGTGTATTTCTCATCTACTTCTAAGTATTTTTTTTAACCTTTTGCCTCTGACAATCCTGAATGAAGGCTAGTGCCTTTCAAATCCACTCAACTTGCCATCTTCCCTATGTGTATTTCTGAATTCACAGTTGCGTTTCACGTTCTTTGTCACGTTGACTTGCAAGCTCTGCAGCTAGATAGCCTCACAAGGGCAGAGAGCTAGTAATCGCAATGGGTAGGAGACCCATTTTTAGTTTTAGAATTTAAGTGCATCCGTTGCATTATATCAAGAAGTAGCTGGCACAATTTGCCTTACCACCTAAATTTCTCAAAGCATGCTTGCTACTTCTGATAAAAGGGTAGCAATAAGAAAAGGCATGCTAACTTTCATATGCTTCATCATTAATGCCAGGATAATGTGCGACTCCCCTCCTGCCCCGCATCCTACATGAATCAGGTAGCTATGGGGAAAAGAAATCCTGCACGCTACGGCTAAAGGAAATCCTGTAACACCAGAGAAACTTAAAAGGCTGACAGTATAAGCTTTCTCCAGATCCCAGTCTGGAGGAAGGGGCACAAAACAACTTTAAAACTCTGTGAATTTTTAAAGTAGCCTCAGGATTTTAGGGCCCAATTTATAACCTGCAGATGCTTGGAATTGACAACTTAATTCGTTCTTATTATATTATGTTTCATATAAAATAAACAATAATACAACTGTTAAAAATAATTGGAATAATAAAAATTAAGGCAAACAACAACCAAATATTCATATATTATACCTGCATGGGCCACAGGAGATAGCGAATATCACCACTGATACCTCCTTTTGCATACATCTCTCTGCTTCCTCCAGTGGTGAAAGAAAACAGGGCTAATTTGTTCTAGAATTAAGAAAGCAGCGCTTGAGTTAGGCATGTTTAAAGAAGAGTGGCTGAATAGTTCAAGAGATATTCAGGGGAACCTGGACAGCATAAATTTCTAGAGGAGGTGGTGTCCTCTTCTTTCCCAGACCTTATGTGTAGTGGCAGCTCTGAGGCAAAGATTAATGACATACAAATAGACAGTGGAGTGTGTGTCACGCCTTTGGGCAGAGACAGGTTAAAAAGAAAAGGAATTATATGTCTGACACCCTTGCATGAAGCAGGGCTCACCCTTGTTCTCCCCTGTGCAATGTTTGGAGAACTGTGGCTGGAAAGCACTCTGTTACTGAGAATATCTTTATTCCTATCCTTCCTGAATGCAGAAATTGAATGCTACAGTTCCCCTTCAAAATTGGGCTTGCTTGTCCCTTGCCAAGGAATAATTTGAGAGCAAATAGTCCTCAGGTGTTCTAAACCCCTGTGTTTCTTCTGCTTCTGTAACTATGGTATTAGCCACGGGCTTGTGCTCAGCTTCTATCCTCTCAGTTTTAGCTGCCGTAATTGAAATAACATTTTTCTAGTGCAGTACCCAAACTGCCTTGAGCCTGCACTCAGCATGCAGCTATGATCATTGGGGATTACTCCTGTTCATCTCAGTGAGGCAGCCATTTCTGAAATTTAAACGAACTGGAATGTTTCAATTGTTAAGAAGATCAGAAATTACAGAGATTAATATGCAGCGAACATAAATGTGAAACTAATATTGATTGTTTCTGGATGCTGCAGCTGTAATCAAATACGATCCATCAGACAGTGGGCCAAATTTTCCAGGGATATTCCCAGTGCCATGGAAAATTAAAAATTTGTGAATTGTCATCTAGAGATACTGATCTTGCCTAATTTATAAGCTACAGAGAAGAAAAGGTTGAAAGGAGATAGTTGGGACAGAGGCTCGTGCACTGGGTATTTCAGGTTTCTGATTGAGTTTTATCATTTAATTCCAATCTTTGACATCTAATCCCAGAACAGGATCTTGTCACCTATTCTAGTATGTCACTCATTACAGATTTGTGCAGTCCTACGGTGGTGGTAAGAATGACAGACTATAGTTTTAGGAAATGGATCGATTTAAACTGTTTGCAAGCTGTATGCCATCCCAGTGCACTCTGATACACCTATAAAGCCCATTTTGTAGGCCAACTAAAAATCTCTAGGAGGTTGCTTAAATCTTTAGGAACCACTGCATTCTCCTTATTGTACTACCTTTCTGACAGTTTTAACAAGCCAGAAAGTTACTCAACATGTTACCGAAGCATTATTTCAGGAGAGCGTAAAGTGACAGCTTTAAACAAATATAATGGAAAAGGAAGACCAATAGCCTCAAGAGCATTGTGCAAACCTTGATCTTAATAAAACAATCTCAAAAACCTACCTTGAGCAAACCAGAATCATAACAGTTTGGAAATTCGTGAGCAAATCCTTGGACCAAGACTCTGTCCATCCAGCCCTTCATGATTGCTGGCATGCTGAACCAATATAAGGGAAACTAGGCAAAAAGTAAATTACCTCGTTAGCACAGAGAGTACAGGCCATCCTTAGGCCTGGTCTACAGGCCAAATCCTATTCTCTTAATCTGTTCCGGATCTTGTACATACCTTCTTCCAGCTCTCTGTCAGGAGAGGCAGTAACTATGCTTGGCAAAAATAACTGAAGTTCTCTCTGTTTGTAGTAGTCTCAGGTACATACCCGAGCATCTATAGCACACTAACACGATGGTGAATGTGAGGGCTTCCACACAAATTAAAGTTGGAATATCATGAAGCAGGAAGGTGCCATTTAATTCAAACTTAAGACTGTACAGAATTGTGTCTCCTATTGCTGAAATGCAAAAGGAACATAGGATCTAATGGAGAATGTGGCCAAAATGCATACAGAGAGCCTTATTACCAGGACTGACATCTGGTGATCAGTTCTGATTTGACAGTCTGTTGACAAATGCCATGGGATCTTAAGAAAGACTGTCTTTCACACCCTGCTGCCATGATGACCCTGAATCACTTTATTGAGAAGAAAACTTCTTCTTTAACAGTAGGACCTTCTGTTTCTAGATCCTCCAGTTACCCCATGTGACTACAGCCTAAAGCTATCGTCTTATTTGCATTATCTTGAATGCTTTACGGACTCCTATTCTAGGATGCATCGCTACCCCTAAACCTTTGTACACACTGCAGTACAGAAGAAATTCAGTAAAAGCTTAACCACGTGTGGCTTAATTCAAGATGAAAACAATGTGGAAACTGGGCAATCACCACTGTCTCTAAAAATGGTGAGTTCAGTCTGTTGTAAATTTTAAATTACTTTATGGTGTCTTTCAGAGGCTTTTTCCTTTCTTATTTTTTTCTGCACCAGAACATACTCAACTCTTCATAGCATTCTACAGACAGAAAGTAGAAAGCAACCACTTCCTTCGGGGGATGTTTTACTATACTTATCTCAGAAGCAATAGTGTAAAAATGATGAAGACTTACAGTGAAATGCTTAACTGAGATATGGTCACATCCTAAATTTCATCTAGAATCGGACAGTGGAATACATACAGGCTATGCCTAAGGCCAACAGTCACACAGGCACACACAGAAATGTAAGGCTAGTATTGCCTTATATAGTACTTCTGGGACTTGTAGACACCGAGGACAGAGGTGGCACAGTGGGGACCGGAGATGGGGTTTAATGATCCATTAGCAAGTCCAGATAGAGCTTCTGCAACTCAGCAATAAATGAGGACAGGCCGGTGGGGGAGGTCCAAGTTCCCCGAGCCTGCTGGCTGCTCCCAGCTGCTTGCCCAGAAAATAAGCCTTGCCCTGCTTTCTGCCAGCCTGCCTGACATCCGTGGTCATGTATATGCATCCAGATATTAAGTTTGGCCCAGTGTTGGTGAATGAGTGGATTTGCTGTCTTTTCAGTTGTGCTACTGAATTACTGGATTTGCTGTTGTAATGACCCGCATAATTGTACTACTGATCTGTATTTGTTACTGTACCATTACTTAGAGATAAAGTGTTTATTCCTAAAGCTGTTGGTCTGGTGTCTGTTACTGTATCCCAAACCTATAACTTGGCGGGGCTGCCTTAAGCCCTTACGCACATTTCTGCCTGCCAATCTGTGTTTGCTTTGTGTGAGCTCCAAGACAAAGGGATAGTATCGGGCTGCCTGATAACATGGCATGGTTCTCATATTGAGAATTATAGTATTATTTTGCACTCAATACTTTCTGGTCTGAGTTGCTCAATGCAATCGATTTGGACCAGTCTTCACAAAACCCATGCAATCAGACTTACTTTTGAATATTAATTTTTAAGTGAAGCACTGCTGTGAATTTTACTCAGGTATTTTAAGGTTCTAATTTCAGATGCCTTCCTACTCCTCAAAAATGCCAGCATGGAGCCATTATTTTTATGAAAAATTCATACTGTGCTAGCACGAATAATGCTTACACATGATCTGGTATTTCTGATATTTTCTAAAATCCACATCCTATCAGAATAAACCTGACACCTTGAAATTGCTACGCTGGATACAGACTGTTTTGTGTTGATGGCAGAGCTACTGCCTCTTTTTACTCTGGCTAGATTCAATGTTCCTAATGCAATCTATAATTTTCTCACCTACTATTGCTTTTCTTTTGTTCAACCCTGTACATTACAACTGAAGTCTTTTAACACAATTTAAAATAATGACCTGAAAAATCAGTAAGTCTGCTTCCTGCACCTTCTTTTGCTCTTCAATCAGGTCACTGGACAAACCTCCTCTTTTGTAAGCTTCCCATGTCTCCACGCCGTAATTGAACTCTTCTGAGTTATGCAAGCAACCTGTGGGTAGAAGTGAACAGTCATTGCTTGCCTTGTTTCTAGCATCATAGCCAGATAAGAATTAAATACAGGTTACAATCTACAGTTCTAAATTGAGTTACTGCTTTCCATTTTTTCCCCACTTCCTTCTTTTTTTTTTTTTGGTGGATATTCAGCATCATCACAGCTGATGGTGATTTGATTTTAAACTGGAGAGGAATGTAGTGTCTGAGAGTACTACAACTTTTGCCTTTCTGTAGCAACATATGAAGCGCAGTAAGAGGACCTAAGCTTGGCTCAAGACTCTGGTGATGCAGGTGGATGATTTAGGAGGATTTAAGAGAATTTTGCTAATTGCCCTGCCTCTGCATTAGGGATTACTGAAACCACCACGCAGTCACAAGCACTATGTAGCTGCTTTTCAGCCTCTGTAACTGGGAAACTCATCAGGGCCTGGGGAACCAGTATTGGCCGGCTCTGCTGACTCCACTACAGTTGGGTGAGCTGATTCATGTATGGCTGAATCAGACACATACATTCATTCTGCTGATTCAACTAGTAGACCATCAATCTCTAGCAGAAGAGAGAGGCAGTAGCCTCATGAACTAAACTCTAGCAAGTCACAGAATGGTTCTGAAGGCATTTCTCACCCATGAGAAATGGACTTCAGAGATTGATTGTGGACACGTGTTAACGCGTTTTTCCCTCTCAGTAATGTCACTATGAGACCAGGTTCGTATTCAGGCATGGACTTTTCGAAATGCTTATGTCTGGTCATTAATAAGTTTCTTCTTGTTTTTGCCAGTGCTTGCACTGGACCTGTGCTATTTCTTTTTGATTCTTGTTTTAAAGAAAGAGAGTTTCAGCCGTCGCAGATCATGTTATGGCTTTGTGTTTCCTAACCTGGAAAAATACTGGGGCTAAATGCTAGTAAGAGCACAGTGAAAATATCACATAAACCTAACAAGAGCATCACAGTTTTTCTCAAGTCTTAACTGCATCATCTAGTCATTTTTAGTAATCATATTGTCTGCTTCAAGGTCATCAGGAGGTGTCAAGACAACTCAAAAGCCCAAGCACTTAAGTGACTGGAGCTAACTGGCAGAAAGCATTTGTAGTCTTCGTTAAGAGAAGGTGGTTCGTAGAATGTCTCTGCAGCTGACTGCAAATACTGTAATAATATTTTCCCTCACTCACTTTAGTCTAAAGGCAAAACACCATTTCACAAATCCGTACTATACAGATATTTCATTTTTCTGACTGAGGGGCCATTTCTAGTGATCAGATTTATTTAAATAAAGATGATACTTGTTGGGTTCCTACACTGACATTTCTTAGTCAATGCTAATAGAAAATAAAAAGCTGGGTCTTGTTAGTTAAGGGATATTTGTACAAAATAATAGCAACTATTTTTCTGAGTGCACCTAAGAGCATGATTCTGGATTGTTAATGCAGCAGGATAGACAAGGTGAAAGTTTGTCTCGTCGTTATTGTTGAAAAAAGTGTATTTTGGCTGGTCTCACCAACAATGTCATTTCTTGTTGCTCTTGGCTCGAACTGCATGGCATATAAATCAGACACTGTGACACTGCAGCCCTGCTTGCTCAATTCTTCTACAGCAACCCTCTTCAAAGATCCGTTCAAGGACTTGGGCTCTTGATGTGCATAGACTATCAGGACTTTTCTCCCTGGAGGCAGAGAGAAAAACAGAAGATACCTTTGAGTATAGGAGGCAGATATGAAACAGTTTGTGGAGCCGGGGCCTGGTCCTTCATTTTTCTGTAGTGTGTTTTCCCAGCGGCACAAAACTAGTGAAACCAGAATGACAGTGGCAGCATTTGACTCCTGCTCGGCAGCAATGAGTGACTCATGAGGAACTAATCAGTGAATACCCCCAACCCAGCAATTTTGTGCTACACTGGGCTTTCCTAGGTGGAACTCAGTGGACAGTGGGTGCGTTTCCACAGCAGGTCACACTGCTCTACATCAGCAGAAGCCAGTCCCTCCTCTTGAGTCAGCATTTGTGTTTATCCGATTCCACTACCCTCCCCCAAAAAACTCACACATCCACAGAAGAAGAAAAAAAAAAAAGCTGTCTGCTGGTTTAGCTCCTTAGGCTGGGTCAGACAAGCTAAGCACAAGCGTGAGGGGCGGGCTGGGATCAAAGCAGTGCCAGCTTAGATTCCCTCAAAATGTTGTGGAAACAACTTCTGAGAGCTCAGAGCATCTTCCTTACTGCAACGTGGGATCCCCTCATCTTCCAGTTCAGTGCTGCGGAAGTGACAACATCAGGGTAGATGTTTAAGATGCCACGATCCCACTTCAGCATCATCACAGCGACTTCAGTAGAAAGCAATATGATTTTTTTCTTAGATGTGGGAGTGAGCTGTCTAGTGTATCTCAAGCTGCTGACAAAGTGGATTTAAGGTAAGCTGAGTGGCAATACAGATACGTTGGGATGGAGCTTCTTAAACTGATGTAACAAGGTGTATCAGAGCTTACTTGTTCAAAATTTTCTTATACATAGGCCATTCAATTTTAATAATTCTCTAAAAAAATCATTCATCACTGAACACAAGGGAAAGGTGAAATACTTTTATGGGGTAGTAGTTGTTTATGCATAAACACTACAGAGAGGGAAATTTCCAGGGACTACTGAAAATGACTGGATCTGCAAAACATGCAGCTCTTGGTTCCTAACAGCCGACACAAAAACTCAGGCATCTCCTGAGTTCAGTTTCTCCAGGGGACACAGAAGCTGTACGGCCCAGAGCACCAGCAGGGTGACAGGTAAGTTTAAGGTGTCAGAGCTAATTAATAGAACCCGAGCTGAATGCTTGAAGAAACAATACTTCATTTTTAACCTAAATTATAAGGGCTTATTATTTCTCCAGTGTGCATAGCATCCATGAAACAACAGCTTTGCCAAAAGTCTATTAAAATTTGTGGTCAAACGCTATCATAAATTTAACACGTGTATAAACTATTTAAACCCCTGCTCCATAACTTATTCTGGAATATCAAGAGCAGTTACCTCTTTGCTGTTGCTGCTAACTCTCAGCAAACAGGTGGTTCAGTGGCTGGACCTGACGCAATCTCACAGGTGCAACAAGATTAATCCTGCAAGCTGCTGGTTTGTTCCCATTCCAGTGGAGCTGAGGGCACTCAGAGACAGTGTTCAGAGAGACTGGAGTTTTCAAAGGCATCACTTACCGAAGTAATTTCAGTCATTTGAAAAAGTAATACCTCAGTATCCCAACTAAACGTTACAGATATGCCACATACCAGCGTGCCCAGGCCTGAAGCGAACAGTATTTTTATTAGTATTTGTTCTTACCTGCCATTTTCTGGAAGCACCGAGTAGCTTCTGTCTCGGGAATCTGTTATGGCCTGTGAACTCAACCGACAAATTTGCTTATGTGAGAAACATCAGGAAAAGGCACAAGGAAAACCGCTGTTTCAGTAGGAAATGTACCGTTCTGTGTGGACGCGAAGGGGCTGCGAGGGGAGAACGCTGTGTGAGCGCCCGTGTGCGTGTGTATGCACAGGCGTGCGCTGCAGCGGCGCGACCCGCCGGAGGACGAGGGCGTGCCGGGCCGTAAGCGTTGTCCTGCGGTGACTTTCGGCGGCTGAAGGACTCGCCGCCGGCGGGAGGGGCGAGCTCCGCACGCCGCCCCACGCTCGGCTTCACCCAGCTCTCGGCCGGGAGTGTCGAGCGTGGGTTCGCCGCCGGACTAGCGCCCAGCGGCTATCGCACACCCGCTTCGCCCAGGGACTGAACGGCGCATCGGAGCGCCTCCCCGGAGAAAGAGCTGGGCGCTGCTCCTGTTTTTCGTGCTACCCGCTAAAAACCGGTTTCAAAACGACTCGCGACCCCCCCCG